CTTTATGAGCATGTTATTAAAACCTTCAACAAGGCTCTCAACCATGCTCAAGCTCAGAGTAATTATGTTTGGAAGGAATCTGAGACCATTCTTGGCATGAAGGAGAGAGCCCGCGAAGATAGTAAGTCCTCCTTGTACATGTATTTACTTCCCAATCTAATTTACTAATAGAGCGCCCAATGAGTCAATTGTGGAGCCAAATCTTGATCAAATCTACATTGGCAGATGCAATGCGCGACGTTTACGATGCCGTTGTCAACAATACCATCACCACCGTTTGTCTCGATACCAAGCCTCCCATTGATTTGTCTCTTCATATCCCAATTCCAACATTTTTGATGAGCTTTCCAAACCCCAATGAGCGAGCAAAACCCGGCGTATTACTTTCGAGTGCCAACCCTCTTGTCGATGAGGAAGGTAATCCAGACCCTACGCAGCTTGACAAGCATTTCGCACTTCTACTTCTTGAGGATGAGGTGGACGTTATCGCGGAGATATCATCTGAAGATACAGAGCTTTCTGCTCCTTTAATTCAGGTTATTAAATGGGCCAAACCTACTTTGTCCTTCCAACAAGTCGCTCAAGCAAACAACGTTGGTCTCGATGAAGTTCTTACTCTCGCACAACATTTGATCTATTGGCGTAAAGCAATTGCTATTCCACCTATTCATGCTCGCGACATGTTTATCGTTTCTCCCAACTGCGATATGCACAAGTTAATCACAGCAAGCCAGCAGTGGAAAAAAGCATTTCCTTTTGCTCCATCTTTACAAAGTTTTCTCGGCCAAATATCCTATGCCCCTCGCCCCTACAAGTCCTTCGTTCCCTCCAAGAGTCATCGTGAAAAATATATGGAAATGCTTGCATGGCTAATTCGTGGGGGCTGGGTTACTCATCTGCGAACCTTCTGTTGGATCTGGGTCTGGCCTGAGATCATTTACGAGGTCGAATACCAACTGAAGGCAGAAGCCATCGAGAGAACAAAGAACCCACCTGTTCATACCGCGCCCGGATCCCCGGAAGGCAATTCTTCTGAAGAAGCTACAGATGCTGAGAAGGCGGCAGCTCTCGACCCAACAGCCCCACTCACTACTGAGCAAGCAGCCGAAGCTGCACGCCTTGAAAGACTCGCCGCTAAGACAGTTGCAGAAGCTAAAGCCGCCGAAGACGAATTCGAAAAAATGCCTGTCCCAGAAGCTACCGAGCATCCTTCTTTAAACAATGCAGAACACCTGAAATACATATCCTCCTATGCCATTGTCGATCCCCACAAGGCTAGCCATGTAGAGACCATGTACATTGCAGCTATTGGTAAGCGTTGGACTGAACCCAAGGCAAAAGCATTGTGGCCAAAGTTCGTAAAGTATTTTAACGGAACAACTGCTTTGGAAGATATTTGGGCTAAGGAGGGAATGAAGCGTAAGGAGACGTGGAATGTTCTGATGGCTTTTCAAGAGCAGATTCTAGTTATGAAGCATTGGTAGATGCTGATGATTGATCTTTTACATTCTCTTCTACGAAGGTTAACTTCTGAGGAAATGAAAAGATAAATGCTATGATGATGATTTACGATGATGCTAAGGATGATGCGGCGTTATGAAATTCCAGGAACGGATAGGTTAGGATGATACCATGGCTTTAGTAGATATTTTCGTGATTTGATACCCTTCCATATGAAGGCTACGCCTGAGAATTAATCAAATAAATTACTTTGCTCCGATGTTTCATGACATGAAAACGGATGGTCTACCCAGTGCTGGTTCGCACACCTACCTATATACAGCAAGGCTGAGTAGAAGAATGCATTTTTCATGAAGAAGTACCCAAAAAATTCAAGATTCACCATATCTCGTCCAAGTGAAAGAGGCAATGGAATTAAGGTGACAAAAACTCTGAAGAACGACAACATTTGACAATGACTGCCACAAAGATTGTTCGGTCATTATGGAATAGCCTTACGAAATTTCCTGGATATCACTTGAGTAAAATGAGCTTCCCCTGTGTTAATTCCATGGTCAGACTTTGGTCGCTTCCAGGATCATTGTCGTAATGCCATACCCGTTTTCTTTGCTTCTCGTTATCTATTGACTTTGACAGAGTTTCATGCTAGGAGATTTATAAGGATCTTTAAGGGGTCGGGGGCTAGTGGGTTTACAATTGTATTCTATTCACTTATGTACTATTACTATCCGAGGAATCGTAGTACCCCGCTTCTTTACATGATTGAGAATTTCCTTTTCGATTGCGTGGGAGTTTTTCTGGAGATCATTGTTGTGTTATATCAACGCTTGTTTTCGTGTGAGAACGAGGAGAAGGATAGGATTGGGGATACCCCATCCGCTACTATTTATTGGGGCTCTGGTGTTGCGTATATTTGTTTTGTTCGGTATGTAGAGTGTGGGTGTGTGGGAGTACTTGAGCGATTCTGGAGGGTCGGAAGTGTGATAAGATTGATACGATGTATCTAGATGATTTGTAGTTGAAAGGGGAGAACATATTAAGTTAATATCAGCAATCAAAGGGAGCAACAGGGTGCTGTTTTACTCGATTGACATGCTCTGGATAGTAGACATTGGTAATGCAATATACGCTAGGGAGGAAATGAGAAGTGCGATTCAATATGGGATTGGAAAATGACAATGAGAAGGATGTTTATGGGACGCTATATATTGGATGGGTACTGATGGTTCAAGTTTCATACTGGTCAATCGATCTATATGGGTATTGCCGTTGGAGTAGACAGCGTGCGTGGCTTTCCGTCCTGAACTCTGGCACACCTTCGCAGTATCCTTGGGGAAGATGCTTTATTGATGCTGTGCTATACATATTTTCGTGGTCTAAGATACTGTTATCAACAACGAACTCTTCAGTATTCAATCAAAGGCACAATGTCTCCATAGCTTTCTGATACCCACTCAACTTGAGGGGTGCGCTGTTCCAACAAGCTTGCAGATCCTCAAAGTCCGGAGCATACTGCTTTGGAATGTCCGGATACACACTCCTAGAAGTTGGGCGCATTTGATCTTAGATTTCTTAGGTCAGCGCTTGCGTGTGACGGATTCTTTGAAGGAGATCGAAATTCTTAGAATTGGTTCTTAATATATGCTGAGTTCCTCTGCATCAATTTGGGCACAGCTTGACACAATCTATCTATTACACAGCAGTTGAATTCTCTTCAACAAGCTACGAATCGAATCATTCAGGAATACTGAGAACCCAATAGAGCCGATACCCCTCATTCGAGTTCCGAAATTGCCCGAGCCCATGTTCCCTCCCTCGCTTGATGGGCGCGGAAATTCACTGGTTGGCTTTGGGTCTGGTGCTTATAAGGAATGCTTCTTTCGCGATTTGGGGTTTGAGGGTGGGTGGAAAAGATACCACGATCAACACCAGCAGGATGGGTGGGTGGAGTGGACCGAGGAAAACATGTGGGGGGGACCTTGAGGTGAGGTGAAAAGATTGAAAGGTGTAGATGCATATTTGTACTTGAAGAAGTTGGTCTAATGGTTTAGTGGCTTGGTTTGTTGAAAGATGGGATGGTATGACGTTTATGAGAAATGATAGTCGGGCTGCTATATGTGACAACAGTGAAGAGATGAGTAGCATTTCTGTGAGATTCCAGGTTCGAATTTCAGATGAGTGATAACAAAAGAGGGAGAAGGCTATTTCTCCCCCCTCTCCTTTAAATTAATTGCCCTTGAACTTCAATTCTCAGTTTGGACACACTCTCGGCTCTTCCTCAGCCAGAAAAAGAGGAGAATACCTGATTTTTGTTGGCATGTAATGCATACTCAAATTTTACGCATTCGACGTAGCCTTTGTCTAAGGTATATAAGTACCCAGTCTGCGACTTGACCTACAATTAGCTTCTCAATATTCACTAACCCTCTGAGCAGAATCTAATCGTGTTCTGTACAATAAATCAGCATATCATGCCTAAGAAAAATTGTAGTGAATTTACAAAATAGCTTCCAAGCATGTCTTGCTTTAGGAATGTGTATAAGAGAAGGAGTCAATACTATTTTGTGTGCACTAGAATTGAGATACAAGCTCAATTCAACGATCCTAATGCCTAACGGAAGCTAGCCAATCAGTAGGAGTTCTACACGTACAGACAACACGTATTTCCATGAAGTGCAGTCATGTATACATAGACTTGCCTCCTAGGAGGAACTTATGCAGATGAAAAAAAGAGGAAATAGTCCGATGGACAACAAAAACATGTGAGTGATAGGCGAAACAGAAATTGATGATGAAAATATAATCTAATTGAGTATCAAAGCTCAGCGAGCACTTTCATTGCTCTTTGATTATCTCGCATGATGGGGTGGGGGCATGTTGCGGATCAGAATTTGGTAGGCACACGGCTCCTGAAGGTCTTCCATGTATGCCTTTATAACTAGATGTATTTTGTAAAAAAGCTATCTACCTCATGTTCATACACCTACTACATCCAAGGAAGGCAGCAGGCGCGCAAATTACCCAATCCCGACACGGGGAGGTAGTGACAATAAATACTGATACAGGGCTCTTTTGAGTCTTGTAATTGGAATGAGTACTCGAAGATATTTACAACCTCCCTCATCTGCAATCATACGATACCTAAGGTACCAGCGGGAATTTGGATTTAGGTTCTAGAGCAAAAAGTGAAGGTAGCGAATATGACTTCACAACATGATCAAATTATTACTTGTAAGAGACCATAGCCAATTAATAATCTCTTTTCTTAATTGAAACTACAGTTGTGGATCTTGCACACATTATGGATGCCCATCTCGTGCGCACAGCGGTTGTACTCCACTATGTGTAAATATGTATACTTTCTTCACCCTGTGGACTGTAATGCGATAGACATAAGATGGTAACTTTAAAACAATTGACAGTCAAACTCTGCTGTTGATCAAATAATAGCGACAGCACAATGGACAAGATGATATCAAATTCCTCCAAAGCTATCTTTCAAGCTCCGAGTAGTATACAGGCATACACTCTTTACTTCTCAGCGTGAAGATTTAACAGGAAACAGCCGTTCCTGATGTGACCGAATCGGTAGTAAGTGGCAACTGATCCAGCTACGCAAACTTAGTTATTGCCGTCAACATGGAAGCCTCTATCGTGCGTCTGATTTCGAGAAAGTACTTCGTGGTAAACAGATGAATCTCCATGATGCATCTGATTGTGGGGAAGCATATTGCTATCAACATGGAAACCTCGTTCTGCGATCTGATCTTGAGAAAGCACTTCTTCCCTGTTATGTGCAAAAAAGCCCTTCTAGTTCCACTAGCGCCATTATCTACTACTTGATTCCCCATTCTCATTACTCAGCAGAAGTCGGGTGATCAGAGTGAATACAAATATACTAACGCTTCTATGATCTGGAATCAGGCTAAAGACCTGCATAAGAGAACGGAGGACCAGAGTTCTGAGAATCTCAAATCTGCTCAAGCATAGCAGTACAATTCCGGTTGATGTATCTTTCAAGGGAAAGTCTCTATGCCAAAAAGCTTCGGGTTCAAGCTCTGAAGTTTGTGGAATTCTCTATCATTGGATCTTATCTTTGTCTTCACATACCTATATATTCTCAGTAGTGCGAGAAGTCTTGACAGTGAAACTTGCATGGAATTGCGAGGAGATTCCACGAGTTTTAGTGACAGTGATAATCTTCTTTCGGGAGCGAAGTGAAAATTCGATGATCTGGGTGTACCCCAAGTTTCAAGCAGAATTGCTTTTCTACCGAAATCCACAATCTTCGTTCCTCTAGCCTCTACATTTGAACTTATCACACGAACGCACGCGCCAAATTCTGGCTACAGGTATTTCCATCAGTGTTCTATGTGCGAAAGGAGGGTTTCTTGCGAACAGTCCTGCACTTTTAAGTTTGATGTGAGCCGCTAAAACACAGCCCCGCTAGTCCAATAATCTACTTCTTGATTCAAGTTAGAATTAACATTCAGTAACCCGAGAATCGCAGTTAATCTAGCTGCAGTGAGTTGATAGTCCCTCTTGAATTTCCTGACCTACTACAATGGATATTAATGCTGCAAGTTTATGCTCGATAGAAGAAGTATAGCATTCGTGAAATCTAGCCCGTCCCCTGGATCCATGCTTCTTTGTGAGACAAGAGTAGTCATCAAGATTATCCTGCATATGAGAGATCAATCAGAACACGAAATAAAGAATACTTTGGTCCTGAATAATGACAACAAGCATAAGAAACAAACGATATCATTTGTCTTATCTAGATTGGCGATTATTATCAGCTTCTATTCAATAGATAATTAACATGCACAGCCATCAAATCGGCGAGGAAAACATTTCTCTCCACATCTATCACGAAGTTTCAAAAGTACAGTCTGTACCATTATCGGCATCGAAGATCAGACTTTTGATTTTCTCTACCACTTGCATGCACTCTTAAATACAGCTCCAGGTAATCTGATATCTTAGGTGACCAGCCCCTAGTGAATACAGAGCTCAGGATTATCAAACATTACTATATAAGGTTCATTTCTTTTGAATAACAAGCTGTAAGTCGGGAAAGAAACACACCAATCATCACCTTCAGGAATTTCTTGATATTCATGCCAGGGGCCCAGTATTCTTTCCAAAAGACGTCCGAGGGACTTCGATAAGTATGCAAATCGATCGCTTGTGAACCAATAAACTCGCATCCAGCGTAAAGCTTGCAAGATAAGTGACAGCAGACCTATGATAAAAATGATGGCGAGACGTTCCATTGATGAGACCAAGAAGACCAAATCATATGTATGTCTAAATTGCAGTCAGAAGATACGAGTACAATACTCGTGCTCCGTGTGATAAGTTGCAGCTCTCAAGCGAAACTTGCCTATAAAGCAATCAAACACCATTTTGAGTTCGTCTGGGAGTTTACATACTTTGTAGAACGGATTTCCGTCAAAAGTACGCAGATACAAGTGTGTATAATGCAATGATTACAGAGCTTTGATTCTCAAGTGGATTGATCTGCCCCAAGTACGAGGTGAACCATAAGCTCCACCCACTGAGATCGGCTCGGGCCATTCACAAACACCTCATGGCTAAGCATAGAGTGAATTTATATATATCAAGATTATTCAGTTGCCGAACGAGAGATCAACTCGGCGCCATTCACTATGAGGTAACTTTTGCAGTTTGTGTATAAGTCTTCAAACTCTCTATAGCTTGAAAGGCTATGCAAGCATGTCAGCTCTTCTTATGAGGATTTCAAAATGGGCTCTCGGCAGCCTATCAAGGCTGGCCAGAAATGGACCCTCCTCGGATGACCAAGCTTTTTCAGTATTCATATTCGGTCGGAGCTATGTCTTGACTATCACCATTGGCAACCATAGGGCACAAGTTTTCACTCAAAAACCACAAGCATTGAGTAAAGACAGCAAAAGCTATTATCCCAAGTTTGTTTTGCTGTCATTCGCCGGAGCACTCCCAGGTGTATGTCCTCGCAGAACGAGACATATTCCGGATATGAAACCCTATAGATACGAACTACATATTGAAACGTATCTTTGAGGATTGGAAGAATCTAACCACACACCAAGCTTTGCAGTTAAAAGAAGACATACTTACAAGGCAAAATATGAGGCTCTCCACGACTTACATATACCTACAGCTATGAGAGGTTCTGCTGGTGTCTGTTCTTGAATGCCTTGGCAATTTTCATTATCAAGTGAATGTAAAGACACTTCGGTGCTAATTTGGTGCTTCCTATGCAAGTGACGAAATGAGAAACCTTTTGCATAAGAACCTTTGATCTTCCCGTTGTTACATTTCATCCCCGGTCATTAAACGCACCGGAGATAATGCTGGCTGTATGATAGTCCAAAAATTATCTAATGCCTTCCATCAAGCATTGTAAAAGTGTTTGGAAGGTGAGTAGCTCGAGGAGTAACTCAAATACACATTCTATTATCCGAGCAATGTCAAGGTTTTAGCGACAACAACTGAACTTCCTACAGCGATTAAGAAAGTCTTCAGATGAGACTATATTGATGAGTAGATATTTGTGAAGCTTTGAAAGATTTGGGATCTAAGGTAGTGACTTGTATGTCCTTCCATGGACACAAACAATCCCACACAGAAGGCCTATTGCCTTTATGAAACTCTTCTGGTAAAACGATATGGCACTGTCACTATGCGTTTTGTATATTTTTATATTGACTTGGATAGAAAGCAGCAGCAATATAGCACGAGATTCACGGTAGCCTGATACACGCGATAGCTTTCAATCAATTTGCAGTCTCCGTATCAAACTTTCCAGACTTTCGAACTCTCCATGTTTGCGAGCTTCTTCGATACCGGCTTGAGCATCTTCAGCTTTATTGCAAGTAAATGTATACACCTCAGAGATTGATCTTGTCGCCTGGAATGTCTCGCGCATGAAGGCAACCAATCCAATGATACCTCAATATTTTCAGATAACAGAATTACCGATATTCCGGAGTGTATCGCCTGAAGATCATCGAAGTACGATTTTAGAGAGACCAAGCATGGTAGTTATCAGGTAGTTATCATGTATAATGTAGTCAAGGAAGACCTTCTGGAAGAACGACAAATGACCACGAAACAGTAATTATGGACAACATTATTCAACATGATAATTTGTATCTTGATTTCATTACTGCCAGCGTATCGTTTGTCCCAACAGTCGAGTTGTCCTTTTAAAAATTGAGATATACATTGCAATCCACCCGATCGGTTGAATCAGAAGCGCGCAAAGCTTGAGCCTAAAACTTAGCTTTATTGATTTCTGCAATTCGGGTTTCACTTTTTTATTCTTGCGTGTATAGGCAGGCAGAACACATACAGCCTGCGAAGAATCTTCGAACCGGAGGAACGTACTTACACCTCAAAGTTCAATAGAAATGGTTCATCAATACAGCAAGATCAAGCAACTCAGAAGCTCCGCTGTAATTGATGACTTCGTTGTTCAAATAAGAGTTGAGATCAAAAAAGTGATTTTGCAAGGACCATGGAGCCCTCAAGGTCACTGATATGAGCAAAGGCATTGAAGAACTCCGAAAATGATGCTATCGCGGGCTAGAAAGCAGCTGCAAACATAAGGCATCCAAGATATGTGAGTCGTCGTTGCTTCAATCTGAATATTGTTTGAATGATATCAGACCTGTCAAACTCGGCAGGATTTATTTGTTCAGGCTAATCTGATACATCCCGGATTGCCATTTCGATATATTACAAATGAAGAAGACTGGATAATATCACCGTTTCTTGTCCTGAAATGCCTCCGTTTGAACTTCTTCGGCAGGTATCAAAGTCAAGAGTTGAGGTTCGACAGAAAACCTGATGTCCTACTCATCCGCAATTTGCGGGATTGAATTGGTCAAAGCTTGGTCGGTTATCATTCTGGCTATGTAATCGGGCACTTCTAATGGAGCTAACCTAGAATTACAACAACTCCCTCAATTCTGCTCAGCCCAGAGTTCAACGCTGTCAAAGTTTCAAAACGAGTGGACGCTTATGAATTGGAAATCCATAACAAGATCAGCTAAAATGACAAGCTTTCTGGGGACCATGAAAAGCAGAGACAAGCTTTTTCCTATCAGGTCCTCGAGAAACAATTGTGCTGGTAGAATCTTCTTGGCTCCCTTGGCGAATATTTCTTCACATATGAAAGGGGTTCGTTCGCAGTTTTCCATTATGTACAGTGTACACTCATTAAAACTTCGTTACACATTCTCTATCCGTGAGTCAGGTTATTGGTACAAAACACCGGTACGGATTCAAACGACCTCCAGTAGCTCAAAAGGACACCAGTCCGATATCGAAGTGGGTGTCGTAAGCTTAAGAGCCATCGTTTGACGTGGGTCATAATCTTTCCTGCTTTGAGCAAGTTTATGATTGTTTGATCAAACCCCTCTTAAACCGACGTCCCCACGCTATGCCATCAAGCGTGTTTCAATTGTCAACTCATTTTTTCTCTCACAACGCCAGATTAAGACTGTGAATTTCCCATAAAACTTTGTATCACACACTTGTGATGTTCATTTGAAGTTTCCCAAAGTCTCTTTGTACCAAAGGTTTTGTACGCTGTGTACTGTGTGCTCTGTTCCTCTGTACATCATTACACAATATCAAGGGCTGGACACCCTTATTTTAATTGTCATTATATAATCTCTAATTAATTCCTCAAATTCTCAAGATGGATATGTCAGATGGTATGACAATGGGTGGTGCACCAACCGATGGCTCAGCGTTGAATGCTACTGGCATCGAGCTGTCCAACATGACGCAGGCTGCGGACTATTTGGGAGAAATCTTGGATGATTCTGTTTTTCAGATAAATGGAAATGCTGCTGCCAGACATTTTTGGTATGGAGTCTGTGCGGTTATCGGCATAGCTGCTTTTTTCAACTTCGCACAGAAGGCTATCATATTTTTCAGGTAAGTTCATCTTCACGTCTTGCTGCTACAATTATTAACAATTCATAGATTGAGGGCAGCTGCATCGAATAAAGCACGACCAGCATCGCCATCCAATCCTTTGACAATATTGCTAGCTACAATAACAGCAATTGGTCGGGAAGCATCATATTCCCAGTTCATACCACACAATGCAACTGCCGCAAAGTACTTCAAGATCCCTCCTCTTGGGACTGTTATGCTCTTGATATTACATCTAGTGTGGGTTATTATCCTCGAGTTTGCGAACAACAACGTTCCAGGAGCCCAACACTTTACTTCATTGGGTGTTCGTGCATCCTGGTTGGCTGTTGCACAAGTCCCTCTACTAATACTCCTAGCTGGAAAGAATAGTCCACTCGGACTTGTCAGTGGTATCTCATATGAACGCTTGAATGTTGTTCACCGATGGACTTCAAGGATTCTTCTGTTTCTTGTTACCCTGCATGTGATTTTCCTTCACTTAGCTTGGAATGCATCTGACCTAGGACCTCTGGAATATTCTACCGATTCGTGCATTCCAACTGGCTGGGGAGCATATGCCCTGCTGCTATGGATGAATATTAGCACTTGCGCACCTATCAGGAATTTCTCTTATGAGTTCTTTGTAGTTCAGCACATCATCACCTTTTTCGGATTCATCATTGCCATTATGATGCATCTTCCAGATACTGCTTTATACTCTAGAGTTTATATTTATATCCCTATTGCATTATACATAATCGACAGGATAATCCGTACCGGGAGATACGCTTGGAACAACGTTCGCACCCCAACGGCAACATTGACGGTCTTAGAAGGTGGTGTTACTCGGGTTTGTATCGAAAGCAAAGCTGTCAAAAAGTGGAACCCTGGCTCTCACGTTCTCCTATCAATACCTCAACTTGGAATTGGGCAATCTCATCCAGCAACGATTGCTTCCACACCATCATCACATGATGGCAAGCTGGTCTTCTTGCTTAAAGCACACAAGGGATTTACGGGTCGCCTATTATACGCAGCAGAAAACTCGCCAGCATCAAATTCGCCATGGAAAGCCCGAATTGATGGACCATATGGTAATACTGTTGACTATGCTGCTTTCGACACCGTCCTTCTCATCTCAGGTTCAACTGGTACAACCTATACGCTTCCAATTCTCTTAGATATTGCAAATCGTGCACAAAGCACCCAACTTCCAGTTCAGCGCATCGTCTTCGTTTGGATAATCAAAAACACTTCATGGACATCTTGGATTGCAGACGAACTCGCATCAGCAGCCGAGAAGCTTGACGCAGTTGGAATCGAGCTCACAATCCGAATTCACGTAACCTGCGACAACAACTTTACAACCGGAGATAGCAATACAGAAGCTAACTGCTGTGCTTGCGACAAAAGTCTCGGTCCTTGCTGCTGTATATCCGTCGATGCTGATACTGATGATGATGAAATCACATCTATCGATGAAAAGGGCACTAAAATCAGCGCCAAGCCGAAAATCACAAGTGCTTCTAGTATTACTTCAGGGACTCGATCATCAATTTTACCATGCGCAGTTTTCCAGAGCGGAAGACCTGATTTCCATCCCCTTTTAGGCGAATTATTAGTGAAAGCCGAGGGGAAACTGGGATTGCTGTTTGTGGACCACTTGGGTTGAGTAGCAATGTGAGGACTACGGTGGCGAAATGTAGTAATGATAGGGCTGTTCATAAGGGACTGGAGCCCAAGGCATTTTCCTGCATGCTGAAGGTTTCGGATGGTAAACTTTTGAGTTATTTGGAATGGAGTTGGGTACTTTTTGAAAGATTTGGGAATGAAAGATACCCATGTTGTAATGGCTAGAAAAGATCGGTGTCAGGAGGGATAAATCGTAATGAATATGGCTTGTATGGCATTCTCACTAGGACCAAGAAGCAAATCATGAATTTGAAATTTACTTGATACATAAATCCATCATATAGATCAACCTGTATAGCATCCAAGAATTTACCCTTGTGCTTTTGAACGGTAGTCTTGGATGCGGAAGACGGCCCGAAGATTAACCAAACCCCGGATAAGACTTTCCCTGAACAGTGCACCTTCAAAAGCCAGGGCTGTAACAATGCTTTACTTCTTTAGTTCTGGCTTACGAAACTCCACTCTAACAATCAAAAGTAGATCGGATAGCGGCGACGCGCCAAAGCATCATATTACAGTAAAGCAGCGAGTGTTGTGTTTCCAAACACGCATGTTCCGTGCTGCTTTTCAGAATGGATCAAGTTAATTCAGGTCTTCACCAGCAGATACCCACAACATACAGACAATTGCAGCCACAAGCAGAACAAGCTCTCCAGCATGGTCAACCTCATCTTCACCACCACACTCTTACATCCCAGGCAGGACTCGATCTGTCGGGTTTGGTCCAAGATGATAACAATTCCGTCTATCACCCAGACTTGAGAAGCTTGCAGGATCCAAATGCAGGACATCCTATTGCTCATCAATATCCTTCTCCAATCCCTTTTGAACGAAACAATGGGCACCCTCAAATGCATGTTCAGAATACTGGCATTCAAAATACTGGACTTCAAAATAGCATTCAAAATAATGGCAGCCCCCATACCCCTCAGCAACAACATCCTGGACCAGGACAATTCGGAATCTTGACTGCAGGTCCCTCTCTTCACCATAACCCAATTGGCAGATTGCAGCAAGGCTTGCCACAAGGTTTGCAGCAAGATGATAATTTATTTGGCACACCTGATGAAACAGATCAGAAAAGCATTGGACATCATTCTCACAAGATTGTTCCCAACCCTCCGGATTTGGCAGCATGGAGAGAGAAGTTATTCAATGTCAATGAGATGATCACTTTGAGTGAAGAAGAGTAAGTTCGTCAACCCAAGTTTTGAAGTGCAATTTTACTGATTAACTCAATTTTAGGTATAATACATATTTTCCTCATGTCGATAACGTTTACTCCCATCGGTCAACTCAAAAATACAAGCGCAAGCCATTTGTTTCTCACTACTGGGATTGCCGTCTCAAAGGTAGGCCGCCAGGAACTGCCAAATCCGATGATCCGAACAAAAAGAAGCGAAAGCGCACTGCGCGAGAAAGAGATCTTTGCGATGTCAAAATCAAGATTACAGAGTACTTTCCGGGTGCTATGTTACGGGCAGATTTTCAACCAGATGGAGGCGCATCGGCAGATCCATCCCAAGCGAACAACTTTTTTGCGCAAGCGGGACCTCACCAACAACAATTTGCCCTTCCTCTCAACAACATAAATATCCCACCCAATCATCCAGGCGCCACAGGTCAACGATACTATGAAATTCAACGTGTCAATGGAAACGGTGGCAACGGCAAGGGTGATGGTGTTGCAGGACCTCACAAGCATGATCTAGCGAGAAGTGATGAGATCAAGAAGAACAGTATTCTTCGATTTCTTCAAAAGAGAGAAAAGGAGGATAAAAAGACCCAGGTAAGATCCTTTGGTTCTGTCAGTATTACTATCCAGCAAATATCACATGGGGTAATGCAATCGCAAGAAATGCAGCCACAGGGCGTTTGGCGATTGCAGATCTTTGGGCCTCGATTGCCTTTTTCTGCCCCGCCCCTTCTCGTGGCGTAATGTATAACTACATCATATCAAGCCTCACCTCGCAATTTTTTTTTTGACATTGAATACCTTTGGAACACGAATAGAAAAGGTTCACCCAAAAGATCTTACTCCTAATCCTTTGGTACATTCTTTGGATAGAAGCAATAGTTGCGCATATGTTAGAAAATGACTAACACAACTTGTGAACAGAAAACTTATCACAAGAGAGCTAGTGGCCTAGCTTTGAGTACTGTAAAGAAACATACGAAGGAGAATGAATTGAAGTTATTTGGCAGTTGCTTTTGGTAAGTTTACTTTACATAACAGTCATGCAATATCAGTAGGAACCTACACTGAACTAACATTCCGTGCCAGTCCTTTTGTTCAGCGAGTTTGGATTGCTTTAGAAGCCAAAGGTATTCAGTATCAATATATTGAAGTTGATCCATATAAAAAGCCCCAATCTTTGTTAGAGGTCAATCCCAGAGGATTAGTTCCTGCTATTCGCCATGGAGATTGGGGTTGTGGTGAAAGTACTGTTTTGATGGAATATGTAAGCCTTACACTCTCTTACTCTTCTATATTGGATTCCAAGCAGTTCTCAATCTTCGATAAACATACGGCAACCATCTAACATGTTACAGCTCGAGGACCTTCAAACCGGCCCACCTCTATTTCCCCAGGATGCGCGAGCTAAGGCTCATAGCAGACTTTGGGCCGACCACGTATGTTTTTTTAATCCTTCTCTTTCGTCCAATCCATTAACAACTGTCTAGATTGATCGTAAAATTGTCCCCACATTCTACGCACTTCTTCAATCCCAAAATTATGAAAAGCAAGAAGAATTGACCGCAAAACTTCGCGATGAAATTTCTCAGATTGTAGACGTATGCGATCCTCAGGGTCCATTTTTCCTCGGTCCAACACTCACTTACACCGACGTTCATTTCGCACCATGGATTCTCCGTTGCCGTCGTGTACTTAAGCATTATCGAGATTGGCAAGATCCGCAGCCGGGCAGTCGTTGGGCGATCTGGTTTGATGCGATTGAGAATAATGAGTTTGTCAAGGTGACGACTAGTGCGGATGAATTGTACATTGATTCTTATGAGAGATATGCTATGAATAGACCAGGTACGAGTGAGTTAGCAGATGCGGTTAATGGGGGATTCAATTTACCTTAAGAGGGGTTCGAGATGGAACGGGATGGGGGTTGTAAATATGGCGGGGGATGGGAGGGGTGGGAAAGGTAATGATCTTCTTTAATGCAACTTAACGCGACGCAACGCAACGCAAGTTTAAGGGTTGGCTACAACATGGGAGGATAGGCCAACAGATTTGCTTTCAAGTTTTGTTGCCGAATGGTAAATTACGATTTTGAATGTAAGACACTTCTGGTTGGGGGAATTGGAATCATCCTAAAGCTCTATTGAATCTTTGGAATCCCTTTTTTATATCATGATAATGCTAGTTTAGTTTAATTGGTTGTTGGTAGTAGAATAATCAATAATTGAGGATCTCATTTGAATTTAAGAATTTGAGACTTTGAATGTCCAATGTTGTGATATGATAAAGCAGAGGAGAAGGTCGATATGCGCATGTGTGTATTACATATGCCTTCTTTTTTCTTGTTGAATTAAAATACAATTTAGGTTTCCGCCTACAACCCTGATTCAGCTATCCAACCATCCATTCACAGATCCCTTGAGGTCAATTTCTATAATTTCCGCAATCTCACAGCTTTAGTCCTTTCCTTTTATTTCCCTTCACTTCTCCTCTATTATCCCCCCTCCATCACATATATTGCCACACCTCAATCTCAAGCTCTACGCGACCATCTCCCCATTGACAAGCGTATCCCAATAGCCTCCACAAAAACATCTTCTCTGCTGCATAACCAACCACTGTAATGCGGGCCTTTGACTCAGCACATCTTCCATGACCGCTGCGCATCTTGCACATCTTCTCCAGCGCTTTGTTGTATTTCCACTTCCTTGCCCCCCATTCGCATTACCATTAGCACTGCCATTTGTATTAGCACTGCTCCCTACCCCTTGCGGTGTAGCTAATCCCTGAATCGTCGGTAGAGAATTATCCTTATCCACTGGGTTTCCATTTTCAATTGCTTTATTCAAAGGTGATTTAGAGGAATTCGGGGGAGGGTTGATCAACCAAGTTTTCCTAAAACAATCCATCGTAACCCCTGAACCCTTTCTCTTCGCCACCGATTCCTCATCCTCGTCCACTTCCAACATTGTAAAATCTGCGAACCATAGATTTGCAGGATCGATTTCTAGACGAACGCTAGATAAATAGCCAGGTGCTGCTGCATTGGCTCCTAAATCGTTTTGAGTCTTAGATTCGTTATCCTGTACGCCTTTGAAGAGATCGATGATAACTGCTTTAAATGCTGTGGGAATTTCGCCTCCTAGAAGCATTTTTATTTCGAGATTATTGCGCGAAGGACCTGTGCTATTATTTGTGTTTCCTGAGAGAGGCGGTTTATGATTTGTGTATGCGGATTTGATCGAGGAGGTTAGGGATGAGAGAAGGGCTTCGAATGTTTTGATACGGACGATGCAGTTACTCGTCAAATTAGCGATTTGTACATAAGCAGCCCTCAGTGTCGGGGAAATGCTTTGCTGTCCTTGTCCTCCTTGGCTTGGATGATTGGTATTGGTTGCGATGGCTTTACGAGCTACGTAGTCAAGATGTTGGAGGCGCCGACAAATAGCAGTAAGGAAGCCACGGGTAGGAGAAGAAAGGAGGAGATGGAGGGTTACGTTGTTGGTGGCATGGAGGTAGGCGAGAAGTTCTGGGAGTGAGAGTTTGGTGGGATTTGTTACGGAAAGATTTTCTGGAAGGGTGCTGGGAAGTTCGAGGAGAGTGTCGGTTATCCAGGCCATGAGATCGAGAACCCAGCGAACAGAACCAGCAAGGGCAGTGATTACCTCTAAAAGTCTTGTTAGCACTCCAAGATAATGAGATGGAAATATTGCATACCTGGATCATCGAGGGGCGTTGATTTTGTATCATGAGTTGGACCAGGGACTTTCATGTTTGCAGCCATAGTGACAAGCACCACAGTATTGCGCAACTGTAAAACGAGCCATGAGAATTTTCCAGCAAATTTACGAGCATTGAATTCTCCTGTAAAGCCTAGCGAGTTCTGAATGCTAAGACACAATTGTATCATGGTATTCCGTATTAGTACATCATAATGTGCTTCTTCCGAATAATCAGCAATAATTTTCAGAATTTTAGCTAGTTCATTGAGCCAATCATATGCAAGATCTAAAATAGGTCAGTCGATAAACAAAATGTATCTAACCCACCAAAATACTTACTGTCTTTCGTTTTTGCGAGGTTGTGAGCAGTAGCAATTATGTCATCATAGTTCATAGACATAATAACTGATGTAGAACAAGATATGGATAGAGCAGCTATCATTGCGGCATACCGTGCTATGTCTTATTAGCATCTTCTTGCTTTTGGACAAACAAATTATCAACATACGGTGTTCCATTGTTGACCCAATATCTCCCAAATGATAATCTAATTGCTTCCATTTGACCTTGCCGTCGTTTCTTATCTGCACCAACGAGCAAGTACTTGGAGACAACGCAACTTGTAAACCTAAAAACACGTTAGAAGATAGTTTTATGCAGTGAATGTACACTCACAAGGCTCATCTTCAGTGTAGGAAAATCCAATTTGAGAAAGATGAACAACCCGATCTAAATCGTCATCATTGAACGTTTCGATCATAGTGATTCTATCACGATAATCGACCGAACTATCACTATATGCAAAGCTGATGACTCTTCCAAGATACATAGTTTGCACGGCAACGATAATTTTATTTACTGTAAAACTTTCGAGCTTCTTGAGCTGAGCAATAACCTAGGAAATGTGAGCACAATTTATGGAGACCGAAGCATGCAACATACCCCGGGTTTTGTCGGTTGTGAGCCGTCGGTACTCTTACGCGATGACAAATTCTCAAAGGCAGAATGTACTGGTTGTTGTGGCCTTTCCCTAAACTCCCACCTATCTACAGTGGAATAGACCTCTTGGTTGTAATGAGACGTCGATCCAGGTAGATAAGAACGAACGGCCATAACAATTGGTGGTGTTATGTGGTTTTTACTATCTACAGTTGGAGATAAAAACTTTAGGTGAGAAAGCTGTACCATTGATGATTCCAGATGAGATGCATTCAAAGTATCACCTGGAACATCATGCAACCAACTCGTTACAGTAAGAGGCTTGGTTTGTAGAGTTGCATTCAAGGTCATTGTCATTGGGTTTACTTTTTCTTGCGTTTGAGGAAGACCCCAGTGTATAACAGCTCGAAATATACGCAACTGCTTCGAGGAAGTAGCAAGCGCAATTAAAAGGGACGGGCCTAGCAATAGAATTAGTCGAAGATCTCTCAAGCTCATATGTCAGCATTTACTTCTCTCTGCACATATCGCTGCATGGGTGATTAAATCATCGGATGAAATAATACTTTCTAGTTCAGTGTGCGACTCGAGCCATTTGCCATTGCTCTGTAGCCACAAGAGACGTAAAGATCCATTGGAAGTGACATATAAGAATGCCGATTTGGTGGGAATAGGATGCGTAGGTCCAAGATTGGGCGCTGTAGATGCATCGTACCGAAACCCCGATGCTTCCTTAATAGCTGGCCCTTGCTGCACTCTAGGGGCCTGTTGAAGAATTGGTTAGAATTGTACAAAATCATTCACAGGGCGGTTCTTACAGATCGATTTTGAAATGGACCTAAATTCAGCCAGAAACAACCCACAACTGCATGTAGATCATCCGCTGGTTCTGGACCACAAGGACGGCACATCATAGGTTTATTTAGAGAAGAGAATATTTGCAAAAGTGTCACACGGCCAGCGGAATCAATGACTGCTAACTCGGAGCCCGTGGGACTCCAGGAAAGATGCTTTAACGGCCCACCATCGAGGTTGCTAGTCAATTGTGGTATTACTGTAGCTTCACTTAAACCCCATGTACCATTTTCAGGGTGACACCTCAAATTCCTCAACTCTAGACCAGATCCGTTTGAAGTTATAGAAGCAATGCTTCCCCACTTTGACCAGGCAATACCTCTTGAATGGTAAGGTTAGTAGGTCAAAATACTGATGCGACCGGGGGTTCTTTCTTACTGGCAACATCCGCTTCCTCTCAGTTCATCGACCCTTTGATGAAGTTCTTTTGATGGTGGTGGTCTAGATGGCAAAGACAAACCCGTGCCATCACCAAAGAGGTCGTCCATATCGACTTCCATATTATCGACGTCTTCCATCATGAGTGGCATTACCTTTTGGTAATGTGTGGTGGGAGTTGGAAATGAGGTAGATTTCGTGGGTAGCTTTGGGTACGAAATATCGCCAGTGAAATCAAGAGAATGGAGAAGAAAGTGTTGAATAATTAGTGTGAGGTTGCTTTGTAAAAATTAATAAGATTAATAAGAATATATGATGATGATGATGATGATGGTCACGACGAGGTAAGCATAGAAGGTGATGATAAGGCTGAGGCTGGATGTATGTCTCCGAAAATTGCACTTGGAGAGGGATTGAAAGATTCCAGCCTTGTTCGAGCGATTTGTTCTCAAAAGTTTCCACCTTCGCCTGTTGCATAAGCTAGTAAGGATTAGAATGGGGAGGCTAAGAGCTATGTTAGAACTTATTAGGTGGGTGGAGAATGCCTATCTGATTCATGTGAGTGGATCCCCAAGTGTGTGAAGTATGATTTAAGAGATGTTGCTGGGTGAATGCAGAAATGGAATGAAGCGTCATCGCATGATAGAACAAAAGAAAAAAAAGGAAAAATCCCAGTCCGAGTATAAACAACAACAAATGCAAACAGAGTTAAGATAAGAAGGGGTTTGGAAACCCTAATAAGATAATCATTTAATTGGTCTTTTTAGCTATATAACATTTACTGTATCATTTCCTATACCTAGCTATTCATGATATGTTCACGACTGTTGCTATAATGCCAAATGAAGATGTCGTTATTTTTATTAGGGGTCTGAGTTCATCATGTACTCCGTCCTGTCCTGCGTAGTCAAATTGATGGGGAGACAAGGCATACTGTGCCACATCAGAGAATAGGAAATGATTCCATACAATAACAAGGGTAAAATCATGAACAATGACAAGAATTAAAAGGGGATTTTTCCATTTGTATATAAATACCCAGTACCTAGATAGTCATTCACAAAGACATTTCGAATTATCGTTAGGCGAAACCATTCATCCGGGATGGAATGACTTACTTAACAGACTACTTAACTGACTAGCGGCATGTATATCAAACTTAAAGACTCTGTCTGTCTGTACTCTGTACCTACTTTCCCAGAAATATGAATATGACCTTACATCCTCTTTCTTAATCACCATCTTAACCCACCGACACCAACCTCTAACCCAACAATCTCCTTCCAATCCAACCGGGAATTGGCTCTCGATAATATTCCCTAAATATATCCAAGTCAAAAAATGATTACTCGGAGTAATTAGAACATTCCCCTTTTTTCAATACTTGATCTTATTCCCATCCTCCAATTACCCAGAAAGCACGATGAACAGCTCATCGCCTCTCTCTTCGCCCCTCTCCAGCATAGGCACCATATCAGAACCATCATCGCCTTCGCCAGCCGTCGATTACCCTTCTCCACCATGTAGTAGTGTACCAGATACGAGAGTCCCATCCGAGGCAGGTGATGCTCCGGATTGCGATGGTCCTCCACCGGCCAAACGTCGTAAGATGACGCAGCCAAAATCTACAGAACAAAAACCCAGAACAACCGAGTATCTCGACTTGCGCAACTTTGGGGAAGGGTCGCCAGAACAAATTGCACAACAAGATGCGCAAATGAAGCGTTTGGTAAGGGTTTTGCGAGGCAAGCGGAAGATTGTGGTCGTGGCCGGTGCTGGTATTTCGGTCTCCGCTGGAAGTATGTCAGGCTAATTCCAACAACTCCAATCCTTGCTAACAATATCATAGTACCCGATTTTCGATCCTCCACTGGTTTATTCTCAAGCCTTCGAAGTCAACATAAATTAAAGTCGTCTGGAAAGGAGCTATTCGACGCGTCGGTATACAAAGATGATTCTTCGACAACCTCGTTTCATTCTATGGTTCGCGAACTATCCCATTTAACGAAAAACGCCGAACCTACCCCCTTTCACCACATGCTAGCAACGCTTGCAGAAGAAGGCAGATTATTGCGACTTTACAGCCAGAATGTGGATGGGATTGATACCTCATTGGAGCCCCTTGCCACAACGGTTCCATTGAACAGTAAAGGGCCCTGGCCCAAGACGATTCAACTTCACGGTGGCTTGGCCAAGATGGTCTGCTCAAAATGTGGTCACTTGGAAGATTTTGATGGGGCCCAATTTGAAGGTCCAGAAGCGCCAGATTGCGGTAATTGTGTTGAAATCGACTCTGTCAGAATCGCAGCAGGTTCGAGAAGGCACGGAATTGGCCGGATGCGACCCAGAATGGTTCTATATAACGAATACAATCCAGATGAAGAGGCAATTGGTGCAGTCAGCGCAGCGGATTTGAAGAAAGTGGCCGATGCAGTAATCGTTGTCGGTACGAGTCTTAAGATACCTGGAATTCGGCGCCTTGTCAAAGAAATGTGCAGTACAACTCGGGATCGCAAAAATGGATTTACTGCCTGGATAAACCTCGACGGTGAGCCTGGTGGTCCCGAATTCAAGGATTGTTGGGATATGATTGTGCGGGGCGAGTGCGATGAGGTTGCTCGCCATGCAGGCTTGCCGAAATGGGACGACAAAGACCTTGGGCAATATCCTTTGATTCTCAACGATGCTGCATGTGCAAAGAAACGTGGAATTGACAAGGTTCTGGTTACACCTGCTCGCAGTACCGCAGCCGTGGATGCATTCCCAACACCAGGAGCCAGTCCAAGGGTGCAATCGCCGACGCCTACAAACGCTTTCTCGAAGTTGAAGGCAATCACAAAACCAACGGGATCATCAGAAAAGGCAGCTGCAACAAAGTCAACAAAGAGGAAGGCGCCGGCCGATGCGAAGGTCAAGAAACCAAGGGCACCACCAAAGCCCAAGACCAATGCAAAATCGAAGAAGCAAATTTTACCTGGAGAAAACTTGAAGCTCTCCATGGCTACTACCAAATCATCGGGTACTGGAGAAGTCAAAAATGTGAAGGGCAATCCTAGGAAGAAATTGCCCTCGAAACCGGAAAAAATGGAACCAGTTAAACTGGAGAATCCATTCTCAGTTACACCTACATCTGCATTATTTCCAAATCTAAAGTCCACCGTGCCCGTCGTAGCAATACCTTTACCTACTCGTTCAGGAAATCCTTCCCCTAGAAAGGTCGCACCGCTATCTACTCGTCGTCAAGATACTACTCCTTCCAAGAAAGCTACATCCTCACCTCTATCTGACACACGTACTATTCCTGAGACTCCGAGTCCTCCCGGAAGTCCTCATTTTGATCGCAACGAAACGATCACCCCTCCTTCTAAACCTAACAAAATGGAGCACCTTATTGATTAAAATAATCTTGAGGTCGATTCGACACCTTTTTGTTTCCTTGTTTGTACATAAGACCATTTTTTGTTACATTATTCAACCGCTACTGAACATTCATGTTTTATATTAGGCGGCTTGATATCTTCCTGTCATAACCCTACAGGGTTTGGAGTCTCTGGCGTTCTTCCATTCATGATCATACGAATACTTATGACATGATGTGGTTCCAAATCACATTACAGGCGGCGTATTGGGTTTCATCATCACACATATGGATTCACGGATGGTCCTTATGTATCGGCTTCGCATTTTACATGCAACCATGATACAAATAATATTGTAACCTTAAGTTTGATTTTTTGGGGGAAGTCCATTCCTTCGTGTTGTCGAATAAATGGCAGGCGTTTTGGTCCTTTTCTGTTGATTCCTAGTCGGATCAATGCAGGAAAGGAATATTGGGTTGGTGTTTTGCATTGCTGAGGAGTAGAGAGGCTTGATATGGGCTTTCATGGGTGTGTTGGGAGGTTTCAGTTCAAGGAATCGGTGACAAAAAGACGCAAAGGAAGTGAGAGTTGCCAGGATGCAGATTATGAAGGCAGATAGAGAAAAACAGAGTATGTTATAGTCTTAAAGTACATGCACAATACAAGGTCTCGAGATACCTTTCTGTACATACATATGTGTGGCACTTTGGGGACAGGCGTGGGGTAATGTGTAATGATACAATGATTTGTGTGTTGCATGCAGCCTTTGAAAATTGAATGTCTCGAGATTCGAACGTGAATGTGAATGGTTTGATTGATTCTTCTTCTTGTTGTTTTGGGGAGGTGGGGAGGTGGAGGGGGAGGAGTAGGTTGTTGTGATGATGGTGGTGGTGGCGGGGTGTGGTGATTGATATATCGATGCTTATTTTGCTGTGATTTACATCATGGGGTTCTTTTGTTGTTGATGAGATGTATGATTCTCGGAAAGGATACTTATATGCGTTTTTGTGTATTGGAGTCGGGAGAAGAAGAGATTATGAGATGAGTGATTGATTGGAGGATTGGTTTTCAATATTTCTCTTTGTTGTTTCAATGGATGAGATGCGGGTATCTGTGATAGAACCCTAAATATCTGTTGTAGCTTCTTTGTCTGCGGCATACTCGAGAGAAGAGCATTTTAGGATGGAGATGGGTAGGGGGTTTTGTTATTCTTCGCTTTGTTTTTCCGGCTTGGATTTCTGGTAGTGGACACAGAGGCAGATGAAAAACGAGGAAGCCCTCCCCGCTTCGGCAGGTATGGACTAGACTTGTACTCCTCTTCACCTTGTCATGGAGACCTTGAAATCTCTGCTGTAAAGTTTCAGTAGAAGATGTATGTGGAATGGGTATAAATATCTACCTCTCCTCTACTTGCCTCTATATTGAGTCTGCTATGTTATCAGTAGAAGATTACAATGAATGAATCTCAAGGTTGGTTCAAAGTTCCCTGTTGCTTCTCAAATAGCTCGAGAGAAGATTCTGCGTTGTGTATTTGGGTTTTGTGCGGAGAAGACCCCGGGGACGTGGATATAAGTTTTGATTTGCGATGGTGAGAGAGAATGATAGATGGGGATTTTGGCAGTAGTAGATTGTAATTTTGGCAGTGAGATGTTTTCAGGATGACGACAACGATTATATCATTATCATCAATAAAATGTTCATATTCTCGCTACCCTCTCTATATTCTCTTCTTCTCACTCACTGATTAGCATTCATACAAGAGATGGAATAGCAGAGTGTGTTGGTGAGATTCATAGTTTATGCAGTCGGACTAGAGTTCCCTGAGCTCCTCCCTATCGTCTCGCGCTTGTATTGCTCCTGGTCATTTTTTGTTCAAGGTTTTGGAACGTGGTTTTAAAGTGATTTGCTTGGATTATAAGTTTGGATGGGGGAGTGTAGTGGAGTTTGAAACTGGAAGTATAAATACAAGGGAAATCATCGTATACTGAGAAATGTATGCACGATAAACAGATGAATGTGTATGCGCTTTGAGGATCGTGTTCCGTGTGGCTTTCCGGGTGGAAAAATGAAGATCTGCCTTTGAAATATAATGTTAGGAGGTTCGCGCGTTTGAAGTTGTTTTGAGAAACGGAAAAGAATGCTATAAAGTTACTTTTGGAATGATGAGATTCCAGTGGTGATGGCGATGATGATTTTTTGACGGTAAGAAGGAAAATGCAAATATTAACATCAGCAATAGTTCATATTCCCTACATCACTTATTAATGCCTATTCTCCAAAACAGAAACTTTCAACCTACAGGCCACTGAGTTCCAACAGATATCAAGGATTCTAGATATTGATCGCAAGACCGTCCTGATTCGAGCTCAGGAGTAAGTGACTTTTAGTGCTCACCTCCAATTCCAACGTTCGGGTTTAATATAGCGTCGAGTTTGTACATTATGGACATCATCTGAATGAACATCTGACATTTAGTAACCAGTTTTTTTTCAGGAACTATTGGATAGGAGGTGTCTGACCAAAGGAATTCACCGCAGTCAAAGCATTTCTCCTTCCTGATTGAGTGAACTTCCAGGTTTCTGTTTCAAGTTGTGTAATACCTACTCAAATCAAGCATTTCTGTAGGCACTAGGTATTTAGGCACTTTTATCTTCAATCTTGAATAGGATAAGCAAAATAAGACATATATCGATAGCAAGTATAGATTAGGTAGGAGGCAGAGGAGCACTTTGTGTTAGTGATATATTTCCTTGAGAGGGTCATCTAGGACACATTGGGATAGTATCTCTAATAGATGGAGGAAATGAAAGATTTTTTTGTCATCAAAATTGGTTGTTATTGTCGCTATTCTATCTTTTTAACTACATTTGTCATCGTCGTCAGCGTCGTTGTTATCGTCAGCATGTACAATCATTTAAAATTGTACAATCTTCCCAGTCATCACGACACTTATTTCTCTTGTCTTGTCCTCCGCCATCCAGCTCCCAGAACTACCATACTCTTATTAACATTCGTCTCTCTGATCAACAAAACTTCCTCACAGGCGATTTTTTCGGCTTACAGATTTTATCTACTGTGAAGTACGATCTACTTGGAAGTTTATATAGACTTCTCCCAGTTGAGTAAAGATCCGCGATGAGGTCAAATGGCGGAGAAGATAATTACCCGATTTTGATACATGTTTCTCTCTACAATTATGCAGAAAGTGGAGGGAGCGGCTTCTATGCGTTTATGTTCTGCCTAGATAGGTATCAAATTGGGTGACTTTTTCCCCAATATAAACATCTTTCATCAAGCTTCAATAGGAGACCAGATTAAACACTGAGGGAAGAATTAATCTTTGGGTAAGGAGTCCTGTTTTCTACGTCGAACCTCAGTTGCTTAATCTCTGGCTGGACGTAGAACAGGACCTCGTTAGTTCATTCCTCCATCCAAGATGATATGGAGGATTCTTCTCAAATTCTTGATAACGAGGATCTAGCTTCGCTGTCAATGAAATTGAAATTGTTGAGGTGCTTTCACAAAACGTGGACAATAATCAGATACAGATAACAATGAGAAAACATATCCGAAAACCTGCTTGCTATCCCTCTACCACTTTCATATTCTCATCTTCACTCATCATATCACATGCTTCGCTGTGTTCGAAATCAGATCCTAATTGAATGCTCTCCAAGTAGTTTCGTTTCTGTCTTATAATTTTATTCTTCCACTCCTTTACAATATTTACATGCCTGCCTACTGCGACATCGTTTTCGGTTAAGAAAGACGTAGCACACGGAATACTCCTTTTATTACTCCCCAACATTCATCATTTTAGGCTCATAGAAATATACACTATAGCCACTCTCCCGTTCCTCCCTCCTTATTTCTTTCCATATCAGAGAGTATAAATATCCATCTTATACTTGGAATAGTAAGGATAGCAAGAGATTCTACCATGTGAAGATGGATTACTTTGTTAAGGAATCACCTAGCCTTGGAAACTCGTGGCTGAGATCTATTGCCTTGTTGGTAATTTATCTGATGCAAGAGGAGGAAGAAGAAAGAATACATAAATGGTTAATAATATGAGATGAATATTCCCACAGGCCAAGATGATGGAATATGACAGTCATTCCTCCGTAAATCAAGGTATCTGATCGACAGTACTTCCATTTTTCATCCACAGCAATAAGAACTTTTCACTACCATCGCTATTCCCACCGTAAGCATACCCATCTTCTTCACCCTCAAAACTCACATCGCAGATTCAATCCACTCTGATACTCTTAATTGTAATAACTGATCCGAGTGCTGCCCTTTGGTGACATTAAAGCCATCGATTTCTCTTTGTATGATGCTTCGTTCGATATCTCTGGTTCTCCTATCTGGAGATGAAGGAAAATACGGGGCGGGGATACCGAAGAAAAGACGAGCGTGAAGGAATCAGAGTGACTTATATATCTCGAAGATGAAGATATTTTCTATCATCAACTCTATAATGAATTTGTCATATGAATAACTCAATGCTTGTCAATACGTCCGTTCTGTCTCACTTCTCCTCAAACTAGCCAGCTAACGAGTATAAAATCCTTAATGAAGTCATTCCAAACCCGCCAAAACGTTTCGTACTCTGAAAACAGAGTTTCGCGCAGGCGAACACTTCTCTTCGAATGGCTCAAAGAAATAAACAGGCGAAAGGTTGTAACTGCTAATTTTGAATGAGACAGGGTCAGGAGATATCATGTATATGATTTGGGACATACAATAAGAAACACGAGATGCAATGCAGATAGCCATAGTGCAATAAATTGACAACCATCATGAAAACTCTAGCCGATGACAAAAATCCGGCAATATAAAAGAGATATATGCGTAATAACGACAACAACCTCTCCCAGTTACTGCCGAAAGTCACAAGTATTGTATCACTGATACCTCAAACCCATGGATCTCTTGACCCGACATTCACCTTCTAGCCAATATCATTCCTCCCAAACTCTTGTCTAATTCCTTGTGGGATATTTGGTAAACGAATTTTGTGCAATGCGCTGCTTT